GATAGAATTAAATGCTACCTGTTCATAGCACATGTTCCTCCTAAATCAAAATTAAAACAATACTAAGAAACACATTTTTACTCACAGTGTAGGAAAAAAACATAACCAAGTTCTATTCCATCCCTAATAAGGTAAATATTTTGAATCTTATCTCCTAAGAAATTTAATACTTGCCATATTTATCACAGAATATTTAGAAAAATACAGTACCTGATACACATCTGTAGTTTCTATATAACTGGGAACACAGCTCAAAGTAACTTAGTTCATGGATGAACTTTGTAACCTGTCATCTCTGCCTAGTTGGTCTTGATATTCTCAGCCACTTGATGCTGTTACAGGGTAAAGTTGTACTGAAAATAAGACAATGTTATTAAGTAAAACAAGCTTCTTTTGTCTAACTCACCACCTAAGGGCTCTATTTGTTTAAAAGAGGAGGGCAGAACCCTAGATCCTACCCCACTAGATCCTTCCCATCATGCCACCCTACTGCTGAGCTTTACTTTCTTCATTTTTAAAATGGAACAAAAATACCTGTCCTACCACTTACAGGAATAATTTATAGGTTTAAGGAGATTATATAAAAATACTTAATAACCAACAAAACGTAAACTCATGTAATGTTAGCCATTTTATGTTAAGCATCCTCTAAATTCTACAAATAGTACTGGAAGTGTTCCACACCTCATTTGGTCCTCAACACAACCTTCATGGTTGTTACAGTTACAGTACATTCAACATATAAGTGAGTTAGAAGTGCAAAAAGGATGGGTGATCTGCTAAGGGCAAACAGCTAGAAAGGGACAGAGTCAGAATTCATTCAACACAATGGAAATTCCAAATGAAGGCTTTACTTTTCCTTTCCGTACAGAGCTAACAAACGCAGCATCATTCAGCAATCTCAAGAATGGTGGGTGAGATTAAGAAAACCAGGAGCTGGAAGGAATCGCTGAATCACCTGCTTTGACAATGCAAACACCTTGATAAAACCCATACTTGCATTTTAGAATCCCTGGGCTTCATATATGGCTTTTATCGTTTTTAATGAATTCAGTAGAAGGTGAAAGTTGAAAACCTTTCATGCAAGACTATGGTTTGCCGTCCCACCCAAACTTATATTTTTTAGTTCTATTCTACTCATATCATCAAGCTTGTAAACAAATCAGAAATACAGTAATATGAATTAGAAAAAACAAAGATTCCCTTTGCTTTTAAAGAACAGCTGATAAACTATAGAACATTCATTTTAAAAACACTGAAAATAATTTTTTTCTACTATGAGGGCTAATATGCCCTCCTTAGGCAGTAAGACACATTTCTGTTTGTAGCCTTATCAGTCATATTTTCACACTATAAAATATCAATTCTTCCATAAAAACAGGGTAGTTCACTCTAATCTTTAAATTGCATTGCTAAAATGTAGTTAATACACACCAATTTCTAACCTCTTAGAACATTCTGTACAAAAGATTTTAATCACTGGAATAATTCCTGAGGAAAGCAGCACTGCATCAATTGTGATGTGATCTGGTAGTCTATGTTCTTGTTTTCCAGTGAAAAGGTTTCATGAACACAAACACTGGGTTTCTTGTGGTCTCATTGATAAAGAGAAAGTTTCTGAGCAGCTTCTGAGCAAACATTTCTTGGTAAGTTGATCACAGATCTGGGATCTTCACTCCTCATAATGGCGCTGCCAGACACAGTCATGTTAGCTCCTCCCTCTGCACACTTACGGACAGTGTCAGGACATACACCACCATAGACCTCTATATCCAGAGACGGAAACAGGGTCCTCAACCAGTGAACCTTTGGCATCATGTCTTCCATGAATTTCTGTCCTCTGAACCTAGGTTCTACTGTCATGACCAAGGCCATATTGATTTGATTGGCCCATGGTGCTAAATATTCAACATTAGTTCCTGGTTTGATGGCAAGGTCAACCTTCATCATAGTCTCTCGGATATCTTTGATGAAAGTCCCTGGGATGTCAGTGGCCTCAAGATGAAAGGTATATTGATTGGCTCCTGGTATGGCCATTGGCTTCACCCACTGTTCCTTCCTGGCCCCCATCATGTGCATGTTTTTGCACTAACTAGCCATAGGAGCATGGGAAAGGCATGCCTATCCCCTTTAGGCTCAGTCTCCACACCCACATATCAAAGACTAGTCCTAGAGCTTCAAGCTAAATATTTCTAGAATAAGTAAAAGAATAAGCATTTATTTCTGCCATTCACTCATCTACAAAACATCTGACTTATCAAATAATCAATAAATTATTGTTATATTCACTTCCAATAGCCCAACAAGTGGTCTTATTCACCCCCGCCGCCACCACATGTGTTTTGGTAAGTAGATGAAGAAAGAGGGTTAAAAACTTTTAAAGTGAATGAATGAATGAAAGCTGCTTTCTGCTTTTGTCTTTTCTTCCTTGATAGCCTAAGGGCAAAATTTTGAGTTCCAAAAGAAACAATAAGAAATCTAATTAGTTCTTTGAAATGCAAGCTCACCATAATTAAAAGCCAAGTTGAAAACTGTTTCAAAATGTCCTTTATAATATAAGAAGGCACACCAATTTGATTATCGGCATTTTTCCAAATTGGACCAATTAGTCTTTTGTCTAATTAATGGTATTTTTAAACTTACAACCAGCACACTGATAATCAAGTTGGAGCATAAAGCTTAGGAATGTATCACAATCACAGGAGACTTCAAATGTAATGTTTATTTGTAGGTAAAATTAAACTGTGAGAATGAAACATTCCAGTGCCAGCCTGGCTTGCCATTTTGACAAATTGCACAAATTCTTAAGCATGTGGAGGTCAGAACCCACAATGCCATGTAGTCTCCAGTGACAGGGAAGACTTTGTTGTGTCTTGCATCTCTACAGGGTGAGGCAGGCTGTGCTCCAAATTACAGATTCACTATTACCTGACTTTAAAATTTTCAAAGGGGGGACTTGGCTTTTCATTAAGAAAAGCTCTTATACTTTTGCTTGTCTCATATGCATTTAAAATTTTAGAGGTGAACCACAAAGCAAACCTTTGAGAACAGATTTGAAATAGTTAATAAATCACTGAGAAAAGACAAGGTCAGCAGCGTGGGATTTTTGAACAGGTTTTGCTTCAGGAAAAATCAACTGTGGAATTTTACTAGACCGCAGTTAGAATTTCCAGTTTCAGCTTCAAAGATGTGGACAGATGCCAGAAGATAAGCTTCCAAGCTTCCAAAATACAATCATGAATCGAGGGAAATGTTGCAATCCTACCAATATGGAACTATTGCTTGAAATGTTTCACAAACAATTGAGAAGTTAGTATCATTCATTTGTTTGAACACCTCAATCCTCACTTTTGTCCCCAGGTACACAGATAATCCCTGCTTGGATTCCTGACCTCCATACTGATAGCCTTTCTGTGTGATACGACTTCAAGGGCCTGGTCTCCATCAGGTGGCATCCAGCTTAGATTAATCTGTGTTGAAATCCTACCTCAAAAGTAACAGGAAAACACTTTAATTGATGCCTTTTCAAAACATGTTTCAGCTGCCCCTGCTTGCACAGTTTCAGAGGCTTAGAACGATTCCCAGGGTAAACATAACACATCTCTTTGGCAAGGAAGCCTTGTTTGAAAGTTTCATTCCATCAGCGACTGTATCTGCTTTGAGCCAGGTACCAACTCAGGTTCTCGGTGCGCGTCAGGGAAACAATGATGAGAACCCTCGCCCTGTGGTCTTGTTTACACAGGGCTTGGGAGGGGAGACAAGAAATACTAAACGTGGAACTGTGCAAACACATTTTTAATGGGAAGATTATTTAACAGAATGTAAGATTTAGATTTAAAGAAAACAAAGTTGGGGATTTTTAAAAAGTCTTATTTGAAGTGGGTCTACTTCTGATAGGCATGGGCTGTGTGCAGTGTGTCTTATTACACACTCCCATTCTGCTACTTTTAAAAATGCTTTTAGAACATTTTAAAAGAATTAAATCTTAGAGCAAAGGAATGACATTTCTGGCAGAAATTTCCAGCTGGGTCGGTGAGGTTATATCACCCTGTATGATTTTAGCAAGTGACTTTGAATCGCTACCTGGTCTGTGTAATAGTCACCCTGCTTCTGAAAGCTGTTATTTAGAATCATGACTTAGCCTGAAAGGGGTCAGGCATGCAAGGAAAATGGGCAAAGGAAGATTTAGAGAGAGAGCGAGCAAGTAAACAAGCATGGCAGGCTACATTTCTGATTAGAAAAATAGAAGCATTTATCCCTTTCTCAGAATCCTTCATTTTTTTCTGCTGTTTCATTTCCTCATCCACCCTCCTCTACCTGAATGTGAAAAAAGGTAGAATCTGTTCATTTAAAACATTCTCTTCCTAGGAGCAAGAGGACCCACACTTTAACTGCTAGTAAGATGAAAAGGAAGTAGAGAACACATCTTGAGAAAAATAAAAAACAAAAAATAAAAAAACCACTGCTCTAGTTAAGCCTTGGAAACCCTTGTGAGAAGCTTACATGGTATTTTCTACAGTTGTTATCACTGTGCTGCCCTCTGATCTAATTAGAATTGGCCCTATGAGATGTTATCTTGCGTTATTTCTCAGATGAAAGTTGAAAATACAGACAAAAGCATTTTGAGAAGAGGTGGATATTATAGGAAACCAGTGAAACTAAATAGCATGGAACTCACTCCATTGATCATAATTCTAACAAGGCCCTGGGAGAAGCCCAGCTCTGTGTGCCATTGGGACCACAAGTCTTTGCCACGTTTGTAAAGTTAACTATGTTAAGTGCAATCCTTTAGATCCACTGTTAGTTTTCTTTTCTTTGTTTTCTTTCTATCCAACTCTGCTCTATCATGTCCCTTTGCATTTACTAACACTAAAATAGTGACCAAGGTCTTCTTAGTCTATGGAAGGAGGTTGGGAAATACATTTAGTTTGGGATACAAGGACATATTTTTTATTAGAGTCACATGCATGTTCAGTTAAGTGATTGCTAAGGAATCTAGAAGAAAAATGGCTTCTGAGAATATATCTACCACTCACTGTGTTGTTTCTCCTGCTGTTTCTTCATAAACATCAGAGCCAGAAGGTGGACTGTTGTATTAGCATGTCCTTTGACATTTACCAATGGTAATATGTGGCTAGCAAGGTAGAAGCAAAATTTTGAAATGTGCAAAGCCACAAGGTAATGTATGACCAATTCTTCCACATCAAGTATATAAACATTGCTAAATGTGGGATTTGTTTCTCATTGGCATCTAGTCAAATATTTCTCTTTCATCAGGAATATTCCTAACAAACACAGCAGAGTTCACAATTATAAATGCACCATATTTTGTTTTCCTTTCAGTGAGCAGAAAAGCAAAACTAGAATTTGATAGAATATTTGTGTTTGTGGTTTACAAATCTACAGAATACTAAAAAAAAAATCTGTGTAAAGTTATAACTCTTATGCCTACTAAGAATTTTGAATTGTATTTCAGAATCTCTGAGGTACCTTGTCTTGACAAAGCCTGGTGGTTCTGATGAAACAGCATGCAAATTGCCATGACACTATAAAACTGGGCAAGGAAACAAGTATGAAGAGTGATAAAACTCCTAGCCATGTTATTTATCAACAGTGAAAACTGCATAAACATAATATGTGTACACAGCCATGCATCCAAATGCAATGTTATGTCAATTTATAAATCACTTAAATTGTTCTTATGTATGCTTTAAAATAATTTTATATTTTCTGAATTATTGTTGTTTTTTAAAAAATCAATATAAAAGATGAAAATGTCATACTGGAAGTCAGAAAAAAAACCTGAAAAAAGATTGGGAGAAACTTCTACATATTAACAACTCCCAATATGCACTCAGGTCAAAATTATGATGAGAAGGGATAGAATAGTGTGCAACATATAGATTGTGAAAATGATGAGAAGAAATAAGAATGATTGGGAGAATCAAGATACTCCCAAAAGAAAGCAAATTGCTGAAGATGAAATTGTTATAAAATAAATCAAAATATATGGATATCAGATGTCACAGTAAGTCTACAGCTTTCTTTTATGATTTTTAAATCTAAATTTAAATGTATTTTTGTAACTGATGTAATGCATAAAATTTGAGGACCATGAAACATCATGTGATGTTTTGATACCCATATACATTTTGTAATGTAGAAACCAGGACAAACATATCTATTACCTGAACTGTTTGTCATCTTTTTATGGTAAACGTTCAAAATCTTTGTCTCTGTCTTTTTGAAATGCATAGCACATTGGTGGTAAGTATACTCACCCCACTGTGCAACAGCACACCAGAACACCGGAACTTCTTGCTCCCATCTTACTATAAATTATTGATCAGCCTAATCTAAGCATAATTTATTGACCAGCCTCTCCTGTCCTTCTCCCAATTTCCCCATCCTCTGGTAACTGCCATTCTACTCTCAACTTCTATGAGATCAACTTTCTTATGTTTTATGTATGACTGGGATCACGTTGTATTTGTCTTTCGGTGCCTGGCTTATTTCCTTTACCATAGTCATCTTCAGTTCTATCCAGCTTTTTCATGTTGATGACTTCATTGACTTCAATAACTACTGTGAATTTTTATTATAACATTTAATAAGAAGTCATTGTATTCAACACTATTTAAAGAAATTCAGATGTTTTTCAAAATCTAGATACCAAGAATATTTACACATAGAAATTTATAAATTTATGAAATAGGATTTACTCTGGCCCAAAGAGATACTCTTCAAACAAAGAATTAAGAGAACTAAAATAATCTTAATCCTAATTAAATTGATTAATTTAATTCATTAAAATACCTTAATCCAAGACAGCAAGTTAAACATATTATTGTACTTTTGTATATTATTGCATTTGTATATTATTGTATAGTAAATATATTATTGTACTTTTGTATATTATTGTATTTGTATATTATTGTATTGTAAATATATTATTGTATTTTTCTATTTTATGGTATTTTTAAACTACTCTTAGCAGATGAATGTTACTCATCTCAGATTTTTTTTTGGGTAAATATGTTGAAATCCCTCAACAGTACTCCACGAAGACTGACCATGTT